CTCCTCCTCCTCAAGGATCTGCTGCTCATAGCTGTGGCCCCCGCCATGCTGATGCCCCCAGCCGCCCGCGGCCGGGCCCGGCGGCGGGGCCGACGGGCGGCCGAGCGCGTCACGGCCGCACCAAACGGCCCACCCCGCGGCGCCGGGCTCGCCGACGCGCGGCGCGCCGCTCTCCCAGAACGCCGCGAAGAGGCGCAGTAGCGCGTGGGGGCCGCCGGGCGGCTCGGGCGGCGCGAAGCAATGGAACTCGAGCACGGCCTTGCGTTAGTAGTGGTGAGTCATAGCAGGAAGGAAGGCAGGGCACACGCATCGGGTGACGGGGCGTGCTTTTGGGGAGCGTGCCCTACAGGCTGCGTCTTGTTGCGTACAACTGGGCATCCGGTCACGCTTGATCCCAGAGTATGAACGGCTCAAGCCACGACTGAGCTGCAATCCAGTTGCCGTGTGGAGAGCCACCACCACCGCCGACCCCGCACTGCCGAATCTAGCCCTGCCGCCCCCGCCCCGCGCGCCCGCGCCCACCTGCAGCACGCCCACCGCCGCCTCGGTGCACCCCGCGCCCATGAGCGCCCACGCCAGCGCCAGCACCGCCTGCGCCGCCCGCTCCTCCGCGCCCGCCTCGGCCGCCGCCTCAGCCTCAGACGGCTGGTGGGGGCGCAGGCGGGCGCGCCGCAGCCGCGCGAGGTCCGAGGTCAGGCCGGACAGGGCGCGGTGGAAGAGGGCCTTGATGTCGGCGGGCTTGAAGGTGGCAAACTGCGACATCCTGGGGACGGTAAGTGCGGGAGTCAGGATCGTTTTATTGGGGGAGTTGGCGGCGGAGGCGGCGCAGCGGGCGCGAAAGAGGGTCTGTGGGCGCCTGCTTCTGAGCGGAGATGCGGAGAGAAGCAGGAATTGCGGTCATTCAGGCCTGCGTCACTCCTGAGGCCGCGGGACGGACGCCGACTGCGGTGCGGCGCCGCCAAGGCCGCGTCAGCGGTCTGTTGGCGCTGTCCTCCCTCCTCTCTGTTCCCACCACCCCGCGCCCCCGCTGCAGGCAGCGGCCCCGCCTGCGGGCAGCGGCCGTGCCTGCAGGCAGCGGCCCCGCCTACAGGCAGCGGC